CCTCCAAGTGCTAGGATTGCTGCATGAGTCACCATGCCCAGCCATCCGTTTTTAAAATGCTTCCTGCAGACTTTTTATTCTGCCAGCACTTAAACAGTCATGTTACATCAAGTTTGATTAGATTTTAGGTTTTGTATTCCTCAGGATACACCTCCCTAACTTGAGCTTACATGTTTTCCAAGCTCCATACACTTTATTATTAACTGCTTGCTACAAACAGATAGTATCCATTGTAGTGGTTTTTAAGTTTGAGCATGAAAATAAATCATCTGGGAGGTTTGTGAGAAGTGCAAATTTTCAACCAGATTTAGATGAGTAGATTTGAGGGGATTGGGTTTTGGTACCTATATTCTTAGTTTCTTCTTACAATTAACAAAACATCATTTGTATGTTCACTAATATGCTTTGAAATGAAACTTCTAGTGATGGCTAAAGTTTATAATCCTCTATGTGAATATTAAAATAGCTTCCCAGCACTTTGGAGGCTGAGACAGGAGTTCCAGGTCAGCTTATGCTATATAGTGCGTTCTAGTCCAGCCTGAATTACATAGCAAGATCCTATCTCAAAAAACAAACAAAAATAAATAAAATAAATACATATTAAGATAGAAGCTTGGTTTTAAAACCCTGGGGGGACTACCTTAACTACTCATAACCAAGTTCTAAAACTGTTCAGAGTTTTACAACTCTTGCTTTTTTCTTGGCCAAAAGACTCTGGGATTGGTTGTGGTTATGTTGGCTATGAGAAAGAAAGTTTTCTTTGTTTGAAAATGTCTTAAACATCTTATTTTCTCTTTCACTGCACTGATTTAAGGGATCTTCATCCCTCATCTTGGTGGTTGAAGTTTTCTTCAGAATCTCAACCCATCTACCTCTCATTGCTAGGTTCAAATTACTGGTGGAAATTATAGAAGCTATCATAGAATTTGTGTGTAACATGATCAGAGAGAGAGTATCAAAGTCATTCTGGTAGGACAGAGATGAAATGAATTACAATGAAATATTGAATTCTAAAAGTGGAAAAATTCCTTATTGCTCTTGTAAAATAGAATTGAAAGCATGATGTTTGTGCAAATAAAAGTAGGAGACGAGTTTGGTTTTCTAGGGCGTAGCCACATTGCCTGTTTTCTCAACGCTGTGTCTCGTGTTTCAAGGTACCCTTGGAGAAGTATGCCTTTGCACATCCTGGTTTCCACCCTTGGGTACTGCCTCACATTAACATTTTTTGAGTGCTGTAACGTGTTCTAATTAGGGCAGGAAGACATGATGGTGAACAAAATCGAACTGGTCCCTAAAAGACATACTCAAAAAAACCCTACACTACTGTCCAATAGTAGACGGGAGAAAGTGTAAAGAAGTTGTAGTACAAAGTGTTATTCTTGGACACAAGAGGCTAACTAACCTAAAAGTTAAGGGAAGGTTACACCTGAGGAAATGACTTCATCTGAGACCTAAAGAATTAATAGAAATCAATTTGGAATCTGGAGGAGTTTGAGAAAGGAATGCTTGTGAAGAGGTGAGGGGGAACACTTTGTCCTTCACTGGTGGCAAGAAAGAATAATCAGAAAGTAGAAAGGTCTGTGTGATTATGAGTAGTTAGCAAGAGGGAGAGACAGCAGCTGATTTAGGAGAGATCCACTGGTTTGCAGTGACATTTTTGTACCATATCTAAAAAGCAGTGGGAGTCACTAAAGAGTTTTGGAGGTGGTGAGTGTGGATGTGATCATGCTAGAACTCACAACTGCTAGATGGCAGATGTGCCAAGTTTATGTCTCCTGAAGTCGAAGAATTAATTCTAAAGGACAGAGGAGGTTAAGAGTAGTAAAGTTTTTGGGAGGAATAGGAATGAGGAATAGAAATCGCTCCAGAGAGATAGAAAGGATCCTGAATGGGTTGTGGCCAAGGTCACCTAAGCATGCGTTTTACAGGACAAAATCATTAGATGGATACAAATTGGGTCGAACTATAATCAACCAATAAGACTGATTATAGGGCATATGGATGACATCATTTACCTTAGCCGATAATCTATATTCTTAGTCTTGTTTTTTAGTCTTAGTCTTAGTAGTTTTAGTCAGTCTTAACCTTAGTCTTATTTTTAGTGGATGCAAAGGGATAGCCCACCCCTTTTGAGAGAATAGTTTATTTTTATGGGAAATGCCAAAAGGGTAGTACCAACCAGAGTACACTCTCAAGGTTCCATTCATACCTTAGAGAATTATGTAAATCTAGTCATTGTGACTTTAATCTTGTAATTTGCCTTTTTCAGATATACCTCCAGCCACAGTTTTGATATGTTCTCATCTTCTGCACTGACTTGAGAACACAAGTCCCTTTCTGACTGTATGTTAATTTTTGTCTAGCTTAGATGTCTATAATAACTACGTGTTCATTTTAATGTTTGATAATAGCAACTTTGGCGGTTTGGTGGAGAAAGCATTGTAGAATACACAGTAGAAATTATTAGACTTAAAGGGTTATACACATGTGCTTGTTAGACCAAGTCCAGGGGAGTGATTGTGGTGGACTGGACCAAGGTGTTAGGACTGGGGATGGAGAGATTTTAAAGGAATCTTGATTTGGAGCTTGAATTGGCAAGATTTAGCAAGAAATGGATTTGGCATGCAGCCCATGAGAGATGTCAAGGATGACACTTAGATATCTGGAATGAATCTAGTATGGCTGACAGTGATTTTAATGGAGATCTTTAAGGAACTCTAGGGAAGAGCAGATTTGGAGGTATTTTCTCTGTGGATTCTTCTTTACCTCAGAAACACTCACGCTCAAAATTCTGCTCAAAATTCCTCCTAGGAAATCACTCTGCAGATCTTCCCAAAGAGCAACAAATTGAATGTCATTTGATTTCTCTTTAGTACTTAGCTATTTCATGATTTTCTGTAGTTGCCTCTCCCTCATGAGACGATGATTCTTGGTCATGGAAGTTTCTTCGTTGTTTGTTGCTGTTAACATACTGTTTTATACTGAGTTTTTTGTGTTAAAGACTTCATTTATCTTGTGTCTGAATAATGCTGGAGTAAGTATTTCTTTACTGCAGCACAGTTTTTTTTTTTCTTCCTCCTAATGTGAACTGGAATGTCTGGGAAGGGCATAAAATATGTAATAATTATCCCAAATCATTTGGTTTCTTCTTCCTCTTACCAATTCTTGTTTTCTGAGTATCTTGTGTCACTAATGTTGAAGGTAGGAGGTGGAATAGGACATTCTGTGGGAAATGCTGATTGGGATATGAGCCTCATATGAGTGTGTGAGAGAGAGGCCGAGTGTGGACTATGTGAAGAGATAACCTGTCTCCTGGTGCAGAACAATCTCTGGGAACAATCTATGGGAAGCTCATTTTGCCTATAGTTGGTCTAGATCTTTTTCTTTTATATCCAACAGTCAAACATCAAAGGATGAGAATTTGTTGTTGTTTGTTTCTTAGCACGCTAAAAACAATAGGTGGCACAAGTTGACAAATTCTGTTTTGTTTCTTTGTAGCTATGCTGCGAAGAGATGAACAAAATTTAGTTCTTTGTCCCCTGCAACCCTACTTCAGCACGCGTGCCTTTGGGCCTTTTTACTTATGAATTTTTAGCATGGAAACAGTGCCTTTCGTAAACTACCCGGTTTGTTCATAAAATAAAGTTATATTAACAACTTTTTTGGTTAAAACATGTTCAGTTCGGGGCTGGGGATTTAGCTCAGCGGCATAAGTGCCTGCCTTGCAAGCAGGCAGTCGTGAGTTTCATCCCTGGTACCCATGAAAAGGAAAAAGACCAAAAAAAAAAAAGATGTTCAGTTCTTTTCTAAGGCTATTTATATTCTGTTATAGAGAGTTGACAGTTGTAAAAAAACATAGGTTTCAGGGAAATGTGGGCAGGGTAGAGTAAATTTCTCTCAAGAATACTGTAGGTAAATGTATTTTAGAAGAAAACTTTTCTTTTTTTCCCCAAAAGTGAGAGTGCTCAAGAGTTCATTTTAAAGTAGAACTTAGTGGAAAGTTTTATCAGGAACTCACAGACTCAAACAAGAAATATATTTGTTTTTAAAGTTATATTTTATTTTGCAATGCCAAGTGGCAATACATTCTTGGCAGACTGTTGGTACCTTTCTTATAGTCATGTAGAATGGGTATGTGCCTTTGATCTGTAAATTTTATTTGACTATGAAGTTAATGAAAATAATTCAGTATTCTTTTCATATATTTTTGAGTAATGTATAATATAGCCAAGATTAGTAGGGTTAAGATATAATGACCACATCTACATCTATACTCCTGCATCTTAATTCTTATGTTTTTATTTACCTGTCCTACCTTATAGAACATGTTTACTTTCAAATTTAAATAGCTTGAGGTAACAGGGAAAATATGATCTTTAGTCTTGTATTAGACATTATTAGCTTCTGTTATCAGTTTAATATTCCCTTTGCTATCAGGGCCAATCTGTAGAACTGAGCCTTGAGAGGTCATCATCAAGAGCAGATTTTTAAAAATCTGTGGATAGAGGCTGGGGATATACTCAGTGGCATAAGTGCCTGCCTTGCAAGCACATGGTCATGAGTTTGATCCCCGATACCGATTAAAAAAAAATCTATGGGTAGATATTACTTTCTCTGCTTGTTTTAAGAAATGACGAAGTAAGAAAAAATAACTGCTGAATATACTCTTAGCAGCTGTGATAGGAACTGCATGAGTAAAATATAATGATTTTTTTTTTTAGCAAGGAAAATAGCTGTAATTTCAGTGCTAATCTTCCTTAGCTGTCATCTCAGGGCTGCATATCCCTTACAGAAAAAAAGGTATACACTTGTCTAAATCTAGTAACCTTTACTAATGTATTCTATTGAAAAAGCAGAGGCTCAGGACCCCTTTTCATTTTATTTATTTGTGTGTGTGTGTGTGTGTGTGTGTACTTCACTCCACACTCTGTGCTTCTTATGAAGTGCTGTTATCCAGGAAAATCATTCTAATTATAGAAACACCTATATATTTGTTTCAGGTCGATCTTCTCTCTTTCCCTTTGAAGACGCCTTCTTGGATGACAGCCATGGTGATCAGGCCTTGTCCTCTGGTTTGAGTTCTCCCACTCGCTGTCAAAATGGGGAACGGGTGGAACGCTACTCGAGAAAGGTGTTTGTTGGAGGACTTCCTCCTGACATCGATGAAGGTGTGCATTCACTAATGACTTGACCAAGTCTGGGTTTGGGTTTTGTGTCATCTGACTCTGACTTCCCAAGTCAGCTGTAGGCTATTTATATCTTACTGTGTAGGAGGTGAGAAGATTTGATAAATGAGAAAGTGATAGATTATACAAATCCAGTCTATATGCACATATGGCAATGCAGGAATCTCTCAAGTTTCTTATTTCCTACTTGTTAATTTAGGGGTAATAATGAAAACTAATACTATTAAATCCATTATTGTGCTAAGTGTTTCATATTATCTCATTTAATACTCATCTGTGTCTTATATAGGTGCATCCTAATATCTTCATTTTTTAGATGAGGAAAGTGAGAATCAGAGAGAGAGATAATGTGCCTTGATTCGGTGGCTAATGGTGTAGTTAGAAATCAGTCAGTCTGATTATAGGGCTTTGTCTCATATCTATCACACCATCATATTTTACTTTAAACATGTATTAATGAAAAGCATGTCTCCTTCTTACTTCTAAAAGAATGAAGATGAATTAGATTTGTTAGTGATTATTTTTGAGATAATGGTCTAAAATATAAATGAATTTTCTCTAATGCCTGAACTCAAGGAGAGTATTCCTTTTAGCATGTAGTAGTTAGTAATTATTTGTTGAATATACTGATGAAATGAAATTATGGCAAAGCTAACTTAAAGGAAGAGATAACAACTCCAGCAGACTTTGGATGTGCTATAAAAATATTATTAAAACAGACTTGTGTTCCCCACATTGTTCTAGCTATGATAGCTGGTTAATTTATCATGTTTTTCTTCTTGAGAGAAGAAAATTCTTTTATTTATTTTGTTTACTTTCTGAGACAGGATCTTGCTCTGCAGTTCAGGTTGCTATTGAGTTCACTAGGTAGCCCAGGATGGTCTCAGACTCAGCAGTCACCCTGAAGGTTGCTGAGTTTAAAGGCCTGCATTTCTATACACAGCAGAAAAGAAAAGCTTTAAAAATAGTTTTGTTTTAGATTTACTACCTTAAAATGGTACATAAAGCAGACTCATTTTCCTCCAGACTATTTTTATATTTGTATTAATATCATCTATAGTAATCAGATTTTCTATATTAATCAGACAAATTCTTTATTGGGGCTGATAGAGTGATATCTTAAACCTGAGTAGGAACCAGGTTAAAATAGCTTTCCAATTTGAGTGAAAAATCAGAAAGACAAATTCTTTTCTTTCTTTCTTTGGAGACAGGGTATCGCTATGTAGTTCAGGCTGGCCTTGAGCTTCTTGGTGTTGTCAGCCTCCCAGGTGCTGGGATTATAGGTATGCACCAGCACAGCTGACTGGAAAGCGCTTATGCCGCTGAGCTAAATCCCTGGCCTGAAAGACCAATTTATTGAACTACAACTTTATAGATATATATACTTAAAGTATGTAGTATGTATGAGAGAAATAGATCATTACCTTTTAATATTTTTCTTACCAAGTTGAGTTATTTATTGCCCCCTGCTTCTCAAGTACATCAATTTACTTCTAAAAAAACCTTAAAGATTTTATACAAATGCAAATATTTTCTGTAGTTTCAACCTTTTCTGAAAACAAAACATTCCTATTTTAGAATCTTCATTTTATTTGATATAGAGGTCATCTTAGCTAATACTAGAATTTTTTCTTCCAAATTCTATCAAAGTTGTTGGCAATGAAAAGAAACAAATAGAAACAAACTTGGCGTGTTAAAAGCAAGAAACAGAATGTATATCCAAGCCAGCTAAGCCATAGGTTTAGGCTGACCTCTAGTACTTTAGGAAAAAAAACCTTCAAAATATTTTTTGATAGTTTTTTATGTTTTTGCGATGTTGGAGATTGAACCAGGGTCCTGTGTACATTACACAACTCTACTGTTGCTTTCCACTCCCAGTCTACCAAGTACTTTTTTTAATAAAAAGATGTTCTTTGTACTATTCTGATTATAATTTTTCCCTCTTTTGCTAACATTTCTTATTTGTTTTGTAGATGAGATCACTGCCAGCTTTCGTAGATTTGGACCTCTTGTGGTAGACTGGCCTCACAAAGCCGAAAGCAAGTCGTATTTTCCTCCTAAAGGTAATGCACTTAAAATGTTTTCACTGCCTGCCTGTTGGAGAGAGTCTGACAGTTCAATATAAGGTAGCCATTAACTCTTGAAATAGCAGTTGACTTCCCTCCCTCTAATTAAGAAAAAAAATATATATTTTTTTGTCTTTTTCCTTTTTATCGGTACCGGGGATCAACTGCCTGCTTGCAAGGCAGGCGCTTATGCCACTGAGCTAAATCTCCAGTCCCTTAAGAAAATATTTTAACATCAATCATCGTTAGGTGTACTGTGTTTAAACCTGAGGATTCATCCTACTTAATTGACAGTGAGTTGTGAGTCTGTTGTGGATGAGATTTGTGCTGTTTTATTACTTTGAGAAAAAAGATACAGACTTTCAGGAATATCAGCAGTGATGATATTATTTAAAGTCAGATTTTATTTGTATCTTATAACACCATGGTTTTATAAATCTTATAAATCCCAGACTTAGAACATCTAATGGCGGGGCCTGGGGATTTAGCTCAGCGGCATAAGCACCTGCCTTGCAAGCAGGCGGTCATGAGTTCGATCCCTGGTACCGATAAAAATACAAAAAAAAAAAAAAAAATCTAATGGCTAAAGAATGGCATTGCATGAAATTCCCTTTATCCACTTCGGTATCTTGTGTAATTTAGCATGTTTAGGGGATGGAAGGTAAACTAGCAAAAGTTTCTTTTTTTCTCTTCCTTTTGTTTTTGATTTTAAAGAGGGTAAAACAAAACAGAACAAAGCAGATCAGAAGAAAACAATACGAGTGACACAGATTTCAAAGCAAGACAACAGGAGACCTACAGTGGCTACCATAATGTCTTTTGTTTTCTTCTAAATGGTTGTCAATATCTCCACACACAATGAATTCATACAAAACAAAATAGTATAAAACTGATCAGAACAGGGGCTGGGGATTTAGCTGAGCGGCATAAGCACCTGCCTTGCAAGCAGGCGGTCATGAGTTCGATCCCCGGTACCAACAAAATAAATAAATAAAAAGTAAAAAGTAAAAAAAAAAAAAAAAACCTGATCAGAACAGAGTAATGAAAGCTTCACTGGCCTGCAAAACCAGACAATAGGAAAATCAACAATGACTATTGTTCTGTCTCTTCAAAATAGCTGTTCATATCTTCATGTATGTTGAAATTAAATAATACAAAACAGACTAAAACCACTCTGAACAAAAATAAAAGCATTAGGGGCTGGGGATTTAGCTCAGCAGCGTAAGTGCCTGCCTTGCAAGCAGGCAGTCGTGAGTTCGATCCCCAATACCAATAAAAATGAAAAAGACACACACAAAAAATATAAATAAATAAAAGCATTACTGGATTTCACAGTATGATGATATTATATATTATATATTATATATTATATATTATATATATTCTCTGCATTACAGAGAAAAACAAAACAAACAAATTACTAAAAAAATAAGAAACAAAAAAAGACAAATAGATTACAATAGCAAAGAGCCCAAAACAATAACGATATAGACCTTTAAAACGAGGTCATAGGAACATAACTAAGGTTGTTATTTTTTACATAGTGATCTCAGATCACCAGACACAAACTTGCAAAATTGACCCAATCTTTTTAAAAATTTTTTTTGTCTTTTTGAGACAAGGTCTCACTATGCAGTTCAGGCTGGCCTTGAGCTCACTTTGTAGCCCACGCTAGTCTCAAACTGAGATTACAGGGGTGAGCCACCACACCCATCTTAAAATTGATCCAATCTTATGAATGTTAACTGTTTTGTTCCAAGAACTAATAGAATTCATAGCACAATCATCTATCTTGTGTTTATACAAATTTAGATATTTTTTCTTTTCCCCTTTTTTTCTCCTTTTCCCTGAGATATTATTTTTCTCCCTTTGAGCAGATTCTTACCCTTTCACAGTATTTACTGAGGATTTTGTGTCTTATGTACTTTTACCACTTCTTGCACTAGGGAGACAATACGGTATTTACACATGTGAGTTTGATTTATTTCACTTATGAGTATTGTCTCAAGTTGCATCCATTTACCTGTAAAAATCCCAGTGTGATCATTCTTTATAACTAAGTAGTACTCCATCATATAAAAATACCACATCTTTTTTATACATTCCTCAGTTGATGGACATTTAGGTTGTTTCCAAGATTTAGCTATTACAAATTGTGCTGCTATAAACATGGGTGCACATATATCACTGTGATATGATGTTTTCAGTTCTTCAGGGAATATGCCCAGAAATGGAATAGCTGGGTCAAACAGGACTTCCAATCCAAGCTTTTTGAGGAACCTACCTACACAGACTGACCTACACAGTGGTTGCACCAGTCTCGCTCCCACCAACAGTGCAAAAGAGTCCCCACAGCCTCTCCAGCATTTGCTGTTGGCAGTTTTCTTGATCCTGGACATTCTTTGTGGAGTGACATGGAATCTCAGTGAGGCTTTGATTTGCATTTCTCTAATGATCAATGATGCTGAACATTTTTTTCATGTATTTGCCATTTATATTTCTTCATCTGACAACTGTGTATTCATCTCAGATGCCCATTTTTGGATTGGGTCTTTGAATTTCGGGGGTCTGATTTTCTTTAATTCTTTAAATATTTTAGACAGAAGCCCTTTTTCTGAGGGACAGTTGACTAAGATTTTTTCAGAATTCGTAGGTTTCCTTTTTACTCTGTTGGAGATTTGTTTTGACATGCAAAAACCTTTTAATAAGATGAGATCCCAGTTACTGATTCTGGGAAGTATTTCCCATGCCATTTGATTTTTGTTTGTGAATTCTCTGCCTACCCCTATGTCTTCAAGATTTCTACCTACTTTGTATTTCAGCAGCTTTAGTGTCTCTGTTTTAATATTTAGATCTTTGATCCATTTTGACTTTAGCTTAGTACATGGTGATAGATATGGGTCTAGTTTTAATTTTTGCCATATGGAGAGCCAGTTTTTCCAGCACCAGTAATTAAAGAGACTATCTTTCTTCCAGTGAATGTGTTTGTCCCCTTTGTCAAAGATAAGGGGACTGAGTATGTCTGTAGTTGTGGTGTATCTTCTAATCTATTCCATTGATCTTCAGATCTGTTTTTTTTTTTTAATCGGTACCGGGGATTGAACTCACGACCGCCTGCTTGCAAGGCAGGTGCTTATGCAGCTGAGCTAAATCCCCAGCCCCTTCAGATCTGTTTTTATTCCAGTACCATGCTGACTTTATTACAATAGCTTTGTAGTATAACTTCAGGTCAGGGTTTATGATTCCTCCTGCCTTTTCTTTGTTGCCAAGAATTGGTTTTGCTATTCTAGGCCTTTTCTGGTTCCTGATGAATTTTACGAATGATTTCTCTCGATCTGTGAGGTATGCTAGTGATATTTTGATTGGAATTGCATTAAATCTGTAAAACAATTTTGGGAGAATGGCCTTTTCCACAATATTTGTTCTTCCTATCCATGAACAAGGAATATCTTTCCATTTTCTGAAGTCGTCTTCAATTTCCCTTTTCAGGGTATTATAATTTTCCCTGAATAGATCTTTTACTTCCTTTGTTAGATTGATTCCTAAGTATTTCATTTTTGTGGATATTATTGTAAAGGATGTAGCTTCTCTTACTTCTCTCTCAGTGAATTTGTTGTTTGTGTATAGGAATGCTATTGATTTTTGAATGTAGACTGTGTATCTAGCTACGTTACTGAATTTAGTTATCATACATAGGAGTCTTTCAATGGAGTTTTTGGGGGTATTCTATGTAGAGTATCATGTTGTCTGCAAATAATGGTAGTTTAGCTTCTTCTTTTCCTATCTTACTCTTTTTATTTCTTTCTCTTGTTGAATGCTCTGGCTAATATTTCCAGCCCTATATTGAATAGGAGTGATGATAATGGACATCCTTGTGTTGTTCCTGATTTTAGAGTAAAAGCTTTCAGTTTTTATCCACTTAATATAATGCTGGCTATTGCTTTTATCAAATTGAAGTAAAAACCACCTATTCTGATTTTCTGCAGCGTTCTTATCATGAATGAGTGTTGGGCTTATTATCAAAAGCTTTTTCTGCATCTATAGAAATGATCATGTGATTCTTATTTTCGGCTCTATTGATATGGTGGATTACGTTTACTGATTTGCATATGCTGAACCATCCCTGCAGTCCTGGGATGAATCCCACTTGGTTGTGGTGTACAATCTTCATGATGATTTGCTGCATTCTGTTTGCCAATACTTTATTGAGAAATTTTGCATCTATGTTCATTAGGGAGGTTGGCCTGTAGCTCTGTTTTTTGGTTGAGTCTTTCTGTGGTTTTGGTATTAGAGTAATACTGGCTTCCAGGAATGAGTTAGAGAAACTTGCTTCCCTTTCAATTTCATTAAACAGTTTGAGGAATGTCGGCATTAAATCTTCCTTGAATTTCTTGTAGAATTCTGCATGAATCTATCAGGCCTTGGGCTTTTCTTTGTTGGTAAGGTTTTAATTACATTTCAGTTTCATTAATTGAAATTGGGTTATTCAGCAGTTTTACATCTTCTTGATCCAGCTTTGGTACTTTACATGTTTCTAGAACTCTGTCCATTTCTTCTGGGTTGGCAAACCTATGTGAGAGGTTTTCAAAATAGTTATTGATGATCTGTATTGATGATCTGTATTTCCACAGGGTCTGTAGTGATTTCACCCTTTTCATTCCTTATTGCATGAATTTGAGTTTTTCTTTCCTTTTTTAATAAGGCTGGCTAGGGGATTATCAGTTTTATTTATTCTTTCAAAGAACCAACTCTGATTCATCGATTCTTTGGTTTTTTTTTTGTTTTGTTTTTTTTGTTTTAGTCTCTATTGTGTTGATTTTCCCTCTGATCCTTATAATTTCTTCCCTTCTTTTGGCTTTGGGCTTGACTTGATCTTCTTTTTCTAGATGACTGAGGTGTAGCATCAGTTTGTTTATTTGTGTTTGTCCTGTTTTCCTGATGTGAGAATTCACAGCAATAAATTTCTTTCTGAGGACTCCTTTCATTGCATCCCACAG